GCGGTGTTGTGTGTGTGTGTGTGTGTGTGTGTGTGTGTGTGTGTGTGTGTGTGTGTGTGTGTGCGCGCGCGCGCCCACACTTGCCACTGAGGTCAGAGGAGAGCATCACATGTTTTCTGTTCATCACTCTCTGCCTTATACCCACTAACACATAGTCTCTCACTGCATCTGGAGCTCTCCAGATGTGTTTTTGCCTTGTCTTTTTCTGTTTTTGCTGTGCTGTTGGGCCAACAAACCCCAGTATGCCTGTCTCCATGCCCTTGCCTCCCGCCCAGTGCTGGTGCTGCAGGCATGTACTGCCATGCATAGCTTTTATGTGAGTGCTAGGGATCTGAATTTGGCTGTCATGCTTGTACTCTTAAAACTGGCCCCCTGCCTTGTGTTCTTTAAGGGACTCGATATGTTTCAGTGGCCTTGCGTGATCAGCCTCATGTAGATTTGTATGTCATTCCTGACATATAGATAATATAATCTTCGGCATGTTACAGAATTTCAAGGGTTTTGTTGTGTTCTGTTTTTATTGTTATTTATGGAGGTTTTTGTACATGGTCCAGCGTACATGTAAAAGTCAAGAGTTGGTTCCCTCCTTCCATTGTGTTAGTTCCTTGGTGGCAAACACCCTTAACCTGCTGAGTCATTTCTCCTGCCTGAGACTTCAGGTTCTTGATCTGTAGCGTGCAGTGGTGAATGATACACTGGTGCACTCTGGTTGAGAGGACTAGAGCCTGTGTATGTAAACCCCGGGGAGCACACTGTCTTCATAGCAACAAGCATTTCTCTTGTTAGAGCAATTAGGTGGGGGGGGGGTTGAGATAAAGTTTTGAGATAAAGTTTCACCATATACCTTTGGCTTCTTAGTAGGAACTTACATTTTGTATAAAATTTCCATACTTATTTTTTAAATTTTAACAAAAACTTGGAAGGTGACAGACATAATTTTTCTCTATAGGCACAGCAAAATAACTGAAGATTCTTGTTGAGTGTGGTGACCCAAGAAACTGAATTTCAGGAGATTATAGTTGGGACTCTATGTCATGGAGTAGGTCATTTGACGGCCATTTTCTTCACACAACAGGATATCTGGTGACTTCTATGGGAACCACAAGGACTTCATCTTTCTATTATCTACTCTGCCTTCCACCACAGTCACTGGTCGACAAGTGACCAATTAAAAGGACCATCCTGCTCATCCAGGAACAAGTGACAGAGGTCTAAGGTGTGTAAGGAAGAAGACAGAGGCGGCAGAGATGGACAACTGCTGGCTAAGCTTGGTGACAAACAGGCCTGAAGATGAAGGTTGAGTGCCAATGGTCTATCTCCCAAGTCTTGCTGCAAAGCTGTCCTTCTAGTTAAGGTAAAACAAATAAAATGTAATGTGTGCTATTTCCACATTGAAATAGGTTAGATACTAGGAAGAAATGACCTGGAGACCAATATCAAAGAAGGAGAGTATAAATGGTATACTTAATGTCTACATGTATGTCTGTGTGTAATGAGTGTGTGTGTAATTGTATGAATTTGTGTGTCTATGTACATACTTGGTGAATGTCTGTGATTGTGTGAGTATGTATCTACCTGCGAGTGATTGTGTGAATGTGTGTATTTCAATCCTGGGCCCAGGATTGCATACTTCCTGGTGGAGTCACAAACTCATACCTTCATTAGAAAGCCAAGCTAGTCCCCAGCCCCCTGTGCATTCGTGTGTGTGTGTGTGTGTGTGTGTGTGTGTGTGTGTGTGTGTGTGTGCGCGCTGTTGGCTGCATCCTGCTGTGTGGCACTGAGGGACAGACAACTTTGCCAGGCCTGTTTTGTAAACAAATCTGTCAGCCTAGCGTTTTTCAGCCCTCTGTACATTGGTTCTGCTTTTCCCACCAACATAGAGACATTTCGAAGCTTGTTTCCTTTTAGAAATAGACAAGAAAATTTGCACATGACTGAAATAGGCAGTCTACCCCATAGAAGTCTTTGGGTTGTCACAATTTTAAGCTTAGACCATGAATTCTGAAAGTGAATTGCAGCTACTCCAGAGCCCCCCACCACCCTGGTCAATGCTCAGGAGAAAAGGGAAGAACCTTTGCCCTCAGAGCTCCTTCTGGGCCATAATGGGATTAGTCACCTAAGATGAGAAAGTGTGATGCAGGTTTCCCCAGAGTGCGTGAGTCATCCCCTTGATAGACGAGAGTACGAACTTGAAACATCTACCGGTAGTCTCTACATGGTTGATTTAATATCTCATCCAGGTTCAAGTTTTTATGGCAGGAAATGTGTGTGAATGGTTAAGATAGGAGTAAATAATACTTGATCTTGTGACTATAATACAGGGAGGAACTTTTAATACCAAATAAAACTTTGGGTGGGGGAAAGTTCTGTCTTAAAAATGTAGCACACATCAGTTTTCCAGAATCTTGCATGTAGTTGTTACTCTGTCTTAAGTGAAGCAAATAGCAGAATGAGCTCTGTAACTTTCTTGTTAATACCTTTGGTTTTGGAAGACATTTTTAAGTATTTTTCTGTGACCCAACATGATATACAGAACTATTAAATGTGGCAGAGGAGGAGAGGGAAATCAAATCCAGGGCATCAAACGTACTAGGTAAGCGCTTGGCTGCCAAGTAGTAATGATTCTATGTGGGACGTTGTTGACCAAGTAGAGATGTACATGGCATTGAAATACGGGATGATACCTAGACCAAGGAGACTCCAAAGTGTCACCTTAGACACCATACTTTACAGGCACTTGGGAAAGGCAATTTTATGGGACAGGAAGGATGTAGCTGAGGAAGTTCAAAGGGAGAAGAATTTTGTAAAACTCAAGTATATTGCTAGTCATTGGGACTTCTTCTAGAGGGTGCTTTTCCTTGAAGAAAAAACAGGCACAAGGGAAGAGGGCATTTTAGAGCTCCCACCAACCCTGCTCATGCTTCCCCAGGATGAATGGACTGCAGAGATTAAGGTGTCTAGTTCCTTATGCATTTGCAGCCTCTGCTGGCTGGGCTCTGTTGTCACTGAGCAAGGATATAGATGTGAAGGCCCAGACTTGAGCCCCCTTCCTCCACCCTGCTTGAAAACGGGTCCTCTGAATCCTTCTGCTTCTCAAATGTAGTGTCTCAAATCCAGCAGGTAAAGTTTGTAAGACACATGTCACTGTGGACAGACTGACCTGTTCATTCTAGACTTGTGTTAGCACTTCATTATTAGAAATTTCAGTTAAAGATTGTAGAAAACTATGTTTGCAAGTGACATGTTCAAGAAATGGCCTCGTTAGGACCGCTCTGTGGCTTTTAGGCAGGTCCCTGGTGCTCTTTCACTGGAGGCGCACCTCCTTGGAGGTAGCTGGAGAACAAGTCAAGATCAAGGTCCCATGACTTGGAGTGCTGTGTCCACTATCCACTGATAGTGGCTCAGCTTAGGAAAGTCCTCAAGCTCCCTGGGTTCCCTTACCTGTAGGATGGGGGCAGAGGTAATAGACCTTAGCCTGTAAGGTTTCTCTGAGAATAGCTTGGGTAGTGCCTGAGCCAGGCCTGTGTGTCACAGACAATTAATCTGGTCCAAATAGATTGGGTGACCTTCGTAAGAGCAGGTGAGCAAAAGGAGCTGGAACCCAGCTCTGGCTTCCTACCTGCATGAGGCCACTGTGTCTCCTGTCCATAAAAATGCTGTGAAGAGTCCCGAGTGTTTGCATTATCTAAAGGGGAACTTTGAGCCAATGTAAGTTTGGGGAGCACTTTTGTATTGGGGTTTAGTTTGTTTGAAGATGGTGGACCCTATACACTTGAACATTTCATGTCCACAACGATGCAAAAGTGACAACGAGACCTGGATCATCCTTGGAATTCAGTCACATTCTGAGTGTCCAGTCTACCCAGGTGAGCATACCTCTCAAGGACTGCAGTGACCTTCAAAGCTGCTTTGTGCTTGGTGCATGCTCTTTGCCCCTCCTTTGCTTCTGCTTAGTTGGACTTTGTTTTCCCTTTCTCCTAAGACTGCCCTGGTCAGCAATCGGAGACAGGCCAGGACCAGCCACACAGCCGTTGAGATCTGAGCCCAGCATGTGTTCTACACTGTGTAGAGAGAAGCTTCCTGTTCCAAGAGGGGAAATGAGATATTTGAGCATTTGGGCCATCCTCAGATGCTTTTCCTTTCACCAGTGCAGTAGTGATAGAATTTCTAAAACTGTGGCTGTCTCTCCATGTCCTTCTCTTTCCCTGAGGGCATTCATTGGGTCTCACGGATGAGGGCAGAAGGGGTGAAGAATGGTTTGGTCTAGTGAGTATATTCTCACCTCCAATTATAGAGCCTTTTGACGTGCCCTGACTTATAAATTATATTTACATTATGGAAATGGTCCCTGTGCTCTTTAGCAATACCAGTGTGATAGATAGCCTGGGAATTAGCCCCACAGAAGAGCAGCTTGCCTAGAGTGTATGAAGCCCTGAGTTCAATCTCCAGTGCAAAAGCAAACAAGCTACAACAAAACCGTTTGTAAAACAAAAACAGTATGTCCCATCTTAAGTATCCGAAAATGAGGAAGAAAAGAGTCAGGGCAAACATCCAAAGGCATGCAGGTCAGATGTGGTCTGTCTCCATCAGCAACGGCCTACAGCAGACACTTGTGTTCCCTGCTCTGTGACTCACAGCCCCTCCCCACACCCATCCCTGACACCTTCACCCAAAGTGAAGGCAAGACAAGCTCTTAAGCAAACGCTGCCCTTTCACCAGCATGGCCCCATAGTCTGCTCAGAACAAGCCTTCACCAGGAATCGGAGCAGTTTTCCTTCCCTCCCCATTTTGTCAGGTCGCCAAAATCTCCCACTCTCTTTTATGTTAAATACATTAATACGTTTGTCAAAATACAAAATGTCATATTGTTGTCAGCTACAAATAATGCCAGTGATACAAATAATAGTGTCAGGTGACAGGTGGACTGCTGTTAAATGACTGTCCCCTCAGATAGGTCTGAAAACCCCATTCACAGACCTAGGGGATGGCAGTGGAGTCTGGCGAATGTCATCTGAGAGGAAAGAGGATTTCCATGTTTGAAATTTGGGGACAAAAACAACTTTCTCTTCCCTGCAAGGGTTAATTCTCTAGCCAGCTTCAGATTGGTTCTCTTGAATCTTAAAATTACTTTTCTGGTCACGCGCTCAGAAGGTCTACGAGTCTGTGAATCACCCCCACCCCCACCCCATGCTATTCTCTTTGGCTGTCTTAATTACACAGGGGTTGGGAAACCAAATTAAAATTAGGCGTGGCTGGGTAAACAGCGACTGCATTGCAAGCTTTTAGCTTCACTGCTGGGGTGGTTTTTCCTCCCTCTGTAGCTTTCCTTTTCACTTCTTATTTTTCTAAAGGAAATAGCACAAGGTCTTTTGGAAATACTCACAGGAAGTGGTCGCTGGATGCTGGTTACTCACCAGCCCCGGAGTCCTGACAGGTGGCAGGTGTGTCTTCCTCTCCTGATTTATGTGAAAATAGTCCCCAGAGGGGCAGGTGAAGGGCAGGCCTGGTGCACAGCCCAAAGGGCTTTTTGTCCACCAAGTGGCTTTCATGATGAGACTGGTCATTGCATGTCATCTGGAGGGAGGGTGACTCAGGGAGCTGGGCTGGGGTCGGTGCACACATGTCTTAGCTACTCTGGAGTTTCTGCTCAGTTCTCAGAGTGCCGGCTGTCTCCTAAAAATGATCCCTCCCTCCCACCGCCAACAGCCGTTCTTCCTCAGTGAGTCACTTCCAGAAATGAATAGCCGCAGATTTTGGAATGAGCATTGTGAAATCCCTCGTTTATAATGGCAGGTTTTCAGTTGGTGGCTTGATCAGACAGTTTCTCAAGATCAAAATGAGACCTTGTCTTTAAAAAGAAAAAAAATGGAAAAAAAAAAAAACAGAAAGTAAATCCCTTGGATTCAGAAAGCAAAAGTCTCCCACTGAAGAACTGTCAGAGCTGATCTAGCCACCTCTGTATCAAGTTGTGTGTCCTTATATTTGCCTGCATGGATGAGGATTTGGAATTACCGACCTCTCGCCAGTACTAGCTGGTGATTTCCGATGCAGAAGGTCACTAACGACATGAAACGGCCCTCTTCTGGGTGAGTAGGTGGTAGTTTCCGAAGGTGTTCAGCAGCTCGACTCATGGGTTTAAAAGGCAGGGTTTAAAAGCTGGTAGCTCTTGCACACTCTGTGCACTGCCCAACAGCAGGGCCCTGAGGAGTGGTTTAACAGTGTGGACAGTGGAATCCAGTCTTTGGAACATGGAAGTCTTTTGAGGAGGAGAAGGTATTTTTTCAGAAGGAAGTGGTTTGGTTTTGGGCGGGGGGCAGGGGGACTTTTAGAGGTGTAATTAATTGGGTTTCTATGTTTATTTTAAGCATCTTTGGGGTAAAAGAGACAAATGACTTACATGGTCTCAACAGAGAGGTTACACTGACTGTAAGGCAGCTGACCCATATGGCCCTATACCAGCAGTACTCACTGTCAAAGCAAAATGCTAACCCCAGGGTAGGCTGGCTATCAGCATCCACACTGGGTCTGCATGGCCCTGTGGGATCCTGGGTCAGTGGGAGCACTTTTATCCAGGGCAGAGAGGAGCTGGGTTACTGGAAATGGGGAGTGTAGCTGTAAGGATTGTGCTTTCAAGTGGATCGGTTGCTTGACCTACTGACTCATTTCATAGGAATTAGGAAAACAACCTAGTGTGGTTTTATTGTTAATGCTTGAGGACTGCAGAATCCCTGGGCCTGCAATTAAGATGGGCTGGAGGAAGGTAGTGCTGGCACTCGAAGTTTCTGCCAGCCTGCCCTCTGCTCTCCTAATGGAATTCAATCTTCTGCTTCCAGGGCAAGACCAGCCTGTGCTTGGGGATCCTTGGGTGACCGATCAACCGTGAGTATGTGCGACAACGGTTTCTGGTTCTCATTGAATCTTGCCTAGAAACTTCTAAATGGCATTCTATCTAAGGAAGAGCTTCTAAGAACTGTCTGTGCTAGTGTATTTGTAATACATTTCACTTATCATGGAAAGTACTGTGGGTGTGATCATAACTACAAAACCAAACATAACCTATGGACAACTATGGAAACTAAGTATTCAGATTTCTTTTGACCTTTATAGCATACAGATAAAAATGCAGTTTTGGTGTACTAAGTGCTTCTTTATTATTTAAAGCATAATAGGAAATAGATAAGTATATTGTAGGGAAAAAAAAAAACGAAAGATGCGCATTTGTGGCAAGTGATGTAATATTTATGTGAGAGAGACTTGTGAGTCCTGATACCCTGATTGTATTCCAGTGCTAGCAAATGAGCTTCACTCATAAGAGAGCTTCGCTCTCAGAAGAGAGCGAAGATGGTCTGCTGAACCTGTGTGAAAGCAGAGGCTGAGAGAAGATGGCCATGAGGCTGTATATACAGTCTGCCTCTGTCTCCTAATCACATCCTCAAATTACATCCTGGGGGTGCTTGATGGGCGATTCTGTGGGTGTTCTCATTCTCCCACCAGAGGGCTGAGTAGAAGGTAGAGTCGGTGTGTCTATTTATTGAGTGGACTGAGTTATGACCCAGTGCCTTAGAGTTACAGTTATCAGTCTGTTCTGGATGCTGAACCCCCTTGAGATTCTGGTCAAGCCCATGAATTCCTTTGACTGCATCGATACACAACATTTGGTTGTCCTTGGAGACATCCATAGACACAGAAAAGCCTCTGTGATGTGCCAGGTGTAGGAGGTTGAGCTGGACCCTGGAGCCTTACCCTGGCTGGGCTGGTAGGCTTCCTAAAGAATTGCTGTTAAGAGCAAGAAATAACCAGGCCACAAGTCACTCCATGAGGCTTCTGGGAGGAGATCAGAGCCAGAGAAAAGGACAAAGGATGGAGGACATGTGACTACCAATAAATATTAGAAAGTGCTTCTTGTTAGGAGTGTCACATGTGGGGCCTGGAACCCTGTCTATTTAGCCAGGTAACTATTTAGTCAGGTAATTATGAGTTCAGGATAGAGACCTAAAGACTCATAGTAAGCAACTTTGACTAGTTTTTCTCAAATTAATTTTTCCTCATCTTTTTTTACACCATAAAATCGGGAAGTCTTTCTCTCCTTCCCTCCCTCTTTTGTTAGTTTTTCCATGGTGTATGCCCCAAATGAGGTAGGAGCACAAGGATTTAACTCCTGACACTCATAGAAAGTCAGAGAGAGAGTTACACTCCTGGGTAAGCGTGTGAGGACGTGTTGAATGCAAAAGGAACAATGTTTGAAAAAAATCCAGTCTTTATTGTTCATTAGCTCCATTGAATACCTTCAGAGCCATGGCGGAAAAGGAAGACGACATGAATCTTGAGTGTGTTAAAAGGAGTGTAACATGAAGGCTAAAGGATGGGTTTGACATTAGTCAGAGCCACTGTACTCAGTTTGAGTCATGCTCGAAGACAGATGTTGGGCGATTGTGAAGTACAGATACCCAATCAACAGAATTGCACACCCTTCAAGGAAAAGATAAGAAACAGAGGGTTTTAGTCGGAAGAAAAGGGAGGATCTGTTGCTGACGGTCATATATACTGACTGCTTGCTTTCTCGTCTCCTTGGGCCTCCATGCTGCCCATTTCCCTTCACGTGCAGCACAGTGCATAGCTGCTGGTTTAGGAATGCTTGTAACCCTTTAGTGAGAGCCTCACTGGGAGTAAATACACCCAGATAAATCCAAAGAGCTCTTGCTATGATGTAGGAATAATTAATGCGTCTTCTGGCTGTGGTAAATAGGTAAGGTGATAAAATAGTTGAGCTGAGGGATGCGATGAAATCTTAAGTGGGAATTTTCTCAGAGTGGAAGAAAGTAAGTAACTATTTTGAGTGGTAGGACATTTATTCTTCCAACAGTCACTCAGGGCCAATTGTAGTAGACAAGTACAAAAGGAAGACTATGGTGCTTGGTTACACTGCTGTGGGACATAAAGCAGCATGTGGTGGGGGCTTGTGACATTCAACCACCACCCTGTGTGACCTCCTGATGGAGTTGAAGTCCAGAATGCCTCCTTAAAGGGCAGCCGTTGAGGTTAGCAAGATGGAGTAAGTGGTGAGCCATCCCCATGAGGACCTGGTACATAGGGGCACAGACCTAGGAGGTGTGCCAGAAGGCATGGGTCCCAAAAGGAATGATGAGAGCAGACACTGGGGAAGCCCTTGTTTACACAAGACAAGTGTGCCACAAGTGGTGGCCTGATGATTTCCAAGAGGGTGGCCTGGTGGGATGTACAACTTAGACAGATAACCAGGCAGCAGTGAAGAGGACTTCATTTGGAGTTTGTGCAGGTAAATGGCTAAGGGAAGACAGGTCAGGCAGGGTAAAGAGACTCCTGATGTGTAAGTAGGGGATTCCCAAGAGAGCAAGCAGTAAGCAGATGGGTAAGGCAAAATTGGCGCAGTGGCCTAGTTGCTGTCCAGCATCACTCACTGTGGAACCGTGGAACGAAATGCCAGAGGGGAATCCAGGCCCAGGGGAAGGAACAGGTGGCATTGGCGTGGCAGAGCACACAATGACTAGGTAAACGGAGACGTGAGAGAAAGAGTGAGTGGGAAGTCAGTTAACAGACATGGACTTTGAATTGGGTGAACAAACAATTCAAATGGTCTTGACTGGTATGAACACCCATTTCCAAAGCAATAGTCATTCTCTTGTCTTTTTTTTTTTTTTTTTTTTTCATTGGTTTTTGAAAAACCTTTGGTAGCCTTCGATCCTTCTACCTCCTCCACCTGGCCTTTGTATTTTAAACCTGATTCAAAGTTACTGGTAGTAAAAGTTTCCATTGTATATGTTTAAGGTATACGATATGTTTTGATGAGCAGTCAAAAGCAATTTATATGTGTCTCACGTGGTTAAGCTTGTGTATCTAAAGGCACCTATATTCCCCTGTGCTACAATATTGACTGTTGTTTAGTCATACTTCCCATTGATTTATCTCAAATAACAGAAACTATATACCCTTTAACCTATAATATCTCCTCTTTTAAAGATTTATTGTGTATGCAGTGTTCTGCCTGATGTATACCTGCAGGCCAGAAGAGGGAACTAGGTCTCATTATAGACAGTTGTGAGCTACCATGTGGTGGCTGGGAATACGGTCTCTGTTAAGAGCACCCAGTGCTTCTAATCTCTGAGACATCTCTCCAGCCCTAACTTACATCTCTTATTCCCCCTTGTCACTAGTCTGTTCTTTTTCTCTTTTTCTATATACTTAAGTCCCCAAAGATCTGTTGGTGTTAATGTCACATATTTCTCTTCCCATATCTACCTCCTCACACAGTGCAGGAGCTTTATCGACCCTTGGTCTAGCCCAGTTTTTAAATGAGCATTTTCTCCATTAAAGCATTTTAATGGTGCCTTGGGTTCTCCTTTGGAGGTTCAGTTTTGTCATATTTCAGTAGTTATCCTCTAAAATACATGAGTACTGGAAATTCGCTTCTTATGGGTAGAGGTGGTGCTTGCGTGCCTTTAACCCCAGCGCTCTCAAGAGGCAGAGGCAAGGCTGGCCCGTGTTGCTTCTAGGCCAGGCAGGGCTATGTAGAGAGACCTTGTCTCATTTTGTCTCGTGATTTCCTTAGGATATGTTGAATAGTGAGTGAGTCTTGAAGGAACCAGACTACAAGATTTTGATGAATTTTGCTGACTTGTTTCTCAAGTATTTGCACCATGCTAGACACATTTTTTAGCAGAGTATGGAATTTCTCACAGTCTCTTTATAGGTGTTGTTACTACCTTTCCTGGTAGTCTTAAGACAGTGTTACGTAACTTTTGGTTCATTTGTTCAATAGGTATGTAAAGCACACCCACTCCATGTTAGTTTTTCCTAGTAAGCTGAGCTTTGTTCATGTGTTCACAAGTCTCTCTTTTTCTTTGGTAAATGTCTGTCAATGTTCATTACTAATATTTCTGCTGAAATAAGACTTTCTGAAATGCAGTTTTTAATCTCTGTATGTATGAGAGGTACTTGGACCAAATATTCTTCCTCCATTCTTTGACTTCTAGTGACCCTTTGTTTCTCCCCTAGCTAAAGCTTGCTGCTCTGTATTGAAGACTTTCCTCCTAGTCAAAAATTAGACAATACTTGTCTGATTTTCTAAGAAGTAATTTTATTTTTCCTTCTTAAACTTGACAAACGCCAAGGAAGGTATGAAGCAAAGATTCAGATGGGTTTTTTTCAGAGTAAATCCCCCAGCATTGTACACTGAGTCATCGGTCTTTCCCAGGTAGTTTGTGGTGTTCCCGTTATTTTCTGTTTCCATACTTTGTTCTGTAGCAGGATGCCCTGAAGTGCCTGAAGCACTTGAGTAGAGGGCGTGATCATAGTTTTTACAAACATTTTATTATTCAAGTCTCAAGTATACAGCCAATAGTAAACACCTTCCACTCACCAGCTGCATGATGATTCCACAATTAGTATTTTACCACTCTTTTATGAAAACCATGTATTTATTGGTGTAATGGTTTCTAAACCATCATCTGATCCTCAAGAAGAGTCTTAACGAAGTTTTCCCTAATCCATGTTTGGTCTTTCTTGTTTGTATGTTTCTTCTTAATTTGCAGATCTGCTTTTGAGGACTCTTGGAAATTTATATTATTAGTACGGTAGACAGTGAACAGCACAATATATATTGAGGAACACTATATTTCCCAGCATATTTTTGTTATCTAATTTCATGGCTTGACTTCCAAGGCTTATGAGGTGATAAATTTATTTCTTAAGCCTAGTTCCCTGTTAATGGATGGCTTTCCCTAACAGTAGCTGTCTCTTGCCAAGATGGTACAGCAGCTGGGATGGAAGGTTAGGCCTGACCAGAAGTAGCTGCCTGGGCCACAGTGCTGGCCTGAAAGCAGACACTGTCACAGGGTGCTTTTCTGATAGCTGTGTGTTGCTGTGCAAGGAAGCCCTTACTGGGAAAGCAGGCTGCCCTGGAGAGCCTAGCACTCCAAACTGTACCTCCCAGAGGGCTGTCTTTGAATGGGCCTGGTTCACAGGGAGCAAGCAGCAAGTCCTCAAAGACCTCAGGTCGAGGAGCTCCAGCCCTTTCTCCAGGCTGAGAGCCACACCACAGATTCCCAGGACATCATGAGCCTTGATGGGACCACAGCCTGGAGATAAGTTTGTTACAATACTATAACAGCTAGCTGGTCCCTGCTTCTTAGTGCAGTACACAGCCAGATGAATGGAAAATTCACAACCTGCCTGGAAAGACTTGCCTATGCTCACCAAACCAGTGTACCATACTGTTTTTTTCTCCCAGGCTAGTCTCAGTTTTGCATCTGTAAAAAATACCTTGGACTTATGGTTGCACTGGTAGTTTCTTTATCAACAATGTATTACTTCTAAGATAAACAATTGAATATAGATTAATATCCATTCTTCATCTGAAATCTAGGAGGATGGTTTTCCTCTATCACTTTTCTAAATAGTACTTAAATAGTACTTAACCGTGGTGAAGTTCACCAGATTTGGCTCTGGAGTTGGAATTTGAGGCTATGAGGTAAGGCTCTGTCCATGGGATTGGGTAGGGGTGTGAGGTCTAGAAAGGGTGGGATGGGTGACATTTCTACAGTCATATGGGGAGACTCCCTCCTTGCTAGTCAGCATTCTGCCTTGACCTTCTCCAGGTGGCACGCTTATCCAACATCACCCAGGTTCTAAATGCTGCTTCCCAGCAGAGGGGGCAGTTGTATTTTTGAAGCCTGGCCAACAAAGTCTTTTAACTCTGAGACTATCCAGAGAAATTATATCAACTAAATTAAGGTTCTAGCAAGTCCAGCACATTCAGACAGGTGTTTTGGTTTGGGTTTTTTTTTTTTTTTTTTTTTTTTTTTTTTTTTGCAGATGGTTTTCTCTGGGCGGGGGATAAAGTACTGTTTTTCCTGCTAATCTCCACCTCCTACCACTTCAGTGCTCTGCTTGCTGCTCCCCAACCTTACTCACACCACCCCATTAGGTACTTCTGCATCAGGACTCTGGCCCAGGGCAGCCCAGTGGTTTTACAGAGGCCCAAATGCTGCATACAGACACCATTTAACTTTTACAGAATTAGCCAGGAGCAAGTGGGAGAGATACGTAACTTTCCTCTTACATATTATTTTCCTTAGTGTTAAAATATAAAGACGGATGCAAAGGCTCCCCACACACACACACCCCACTCATCACCATGGAATGCACAGTGTATATGAATCACCTTCTAAATCCATAGCTAGGCTTGAGTTAGCTCCAAGGTTAGATCTGCAGGAAATAAGGCTGATGAGGTCATAGGCCGTGTGGAGGGAACATGAAGCCACTCACCACAGGGAACCCTGAGGGGCCGTGTCATAGGAGTGCTGCTTTAGGCTGAGTCATGCCCATGTGGATGGAACTTCTGCCTCCCAAGTATCTCTTGTTAAAATATTAAAAACCGCCACCAGTTTAAATGAAACAAAGTTGGGATGTTTGCATAGACCCCCCGAGGTTACATATAGACAGATTAACAAGGCAAGTAAGACTCTTACTTGCAGCCTCGCACATGTGGTCAGCACACTCATGTAATTCTAACACCTTGGTAACTGAGGCAGGAACATAGAGAGCTTAAGGCCAGCCTGGGCTACATAATGAGCTAGAGGCAAACTATGCAGAGAGAATATAAATTACGAGGTGTGGCTTTTCCTCAGAAGCTTGGTCCTGAGGTGGAAGCTATAATGGTGTGTTTTGTGCTGTTGCCTCTGGAATGCTTACCAAGAAGAAATTAAAGGAGGCTTTTAGCGTTTTGGACAAGTCATGGGTATCGTCCACGGTGGCATTTTTATGTTTTTATTTAACTGTGAGAGAAATGTACCCTGTGCTCAACTGCCATCTCACCCATAATCTACCACATGCTAATGATGACTAGCCCAGTACCTAAGGTTACTGGGGGTATATTTCCTATGGTCATTGTTCTGGGGTCAGAGTGAACAGGGAAAAACTCACTTTTGTGCTCACGTTCCTCATTCCTGTAAACTACCCCCCAGCACAGAGCCTGATTCAACACAAATAGAAGAGGCTGGTGACAGCAACTCATGTCAGAGGCATAGGCCAGGCACTGTACCCGGTGCTTTATGGCAGGGGACCACTGCAGTACCCACCCCGCACAGACACAACTGAGGGTTGGAGAACTAGTCATTTTCCTGGGGAGTCACACAGCCAACAAATGCAGGAACCAAGATTCAAATTACAGTGGTCTGCCAGCTACACCCAAGCTTTGAATTTGTATCCTATTTGGATTCCTGACTCATTTTAGATTTTATCTATTAGGCCGTTACTCAGTTGGATGTAGTCACGTATCTTCAGAGTATTATGGAAGAATGCTCTCATCCAGCTGGATGCTTTCATGACATTCCGTGTTCTAGGTCACCTCGTGACCATGTATTAATGACGAAGACTCTCTGCCTGTGCCTCTACAGGATGTACTTTGACCATAAGAGACTGTGCAACAAAGGCAGTTCACAACTCTACTGGCCCAACCACCAAGGCTGAGAAAAGCGGTGTGGCTCATATGGGCCAACTCCCTTTTCATGGTGAGAAACAAGTGACCGCTCACTACCGCTAAGCCTCCCTGGAAGTTCAGGCCCCACAAAGGCAGCACCACAGTTAACTACGGAATTCCACTGTCGGGGGAGAACTTGGCTTCCTGTATACTCTGGCCCCC